TTAGCTCCGTGTGACTTCTTCCTCTTCCCCAAGATGAAAATTCAGCTAAAGGGAAGGAGATTTGAGACGATAGAAGAGATTGAGGCAGAATCGCAGATGGTGCTTGACAGGCTGACAAAGAAAGATTTCCAGGGATGCTTCCAGGCTTGGCAGCGGCGCTGGGATCGTTGTGTTCACTCCCAGGGGAACTACTTCGAGGATGATGGATAAATTTAATACCTGAGATAAGTGTACGGGTTTTTATAGGGGCAGTCTTGAAACTTTCCGATCGCACCTCGTATATCGTACGCTATAAAATACATTTCTTAATTAGTTTGAACGTATGCTGTTCTATCAACTATCAGTTTCTGGCGAAGAAATTAAGCAAAATTTAGAGCGCATGTTTACGTATTTTTGTGAGAATTTAAAAGCATACAGACCTGCATTATACTAACGCAGTTGACTCGTTTGTCTTTTAATAAGAGGGGTGATTAGAAGAATCAGTTAATAAATCTTGTATTGAAGAAATCTACAAATGTTTGTAAATGGCATGAGAGCGACGGTAAAGCTTTCGTGGTGTATGTTTTTGTTTAAAATAGGAGCTTACAGAATTCGGAATCTGATATAACGCACGTGTTTATTCTGGTAAGGAACAAATAGGTCAAGGAAAATGTCGATGTGTAATCTTGGGTACATTATAGAGTAAACAAAACAAAAGGTCTCCTGCTTGATGCTATGCTGTTCTGTAAACAATCAGCTGTAAGGAAGCAACGTTTAAGAAGATGCTATTGCTCCAACAGTCCCGCAGAAGAGGACACCAGTGACGTCATCTCAGCAGAAACCTAGCGGCGTTAACGAACGATGAGGTGACTGCCTAGGTAACAAACTGTGGTCAGTTAGGTGGTGTGGACAATGTTATGCAATCAACTTAAAAACAGTGCATTTTGGATTAGGTTATGTTAGGTCAGGTCAAATCAGGATTTATTTGGAAGTTTATCCTCTTGTGCTGTACAAAGCCACTCAGTGGTGGTATACATTATTTGCTGTGAATATGTACCTAATTATATGCAGTTTTCTTGTATTTATATGTTTTTAGTTAATTGTAACAACTATTAGCTTAGTTTGTGAAGGTGTAAGGGAATAAGTAATACAGTGAATTTATGTAAAAGTAAAGTAAAGTAAAGCTGTTTCACGCAATGTACGCGCTTGGGGGGAGAGGAGTATAGCTCCTACTCATTCTTGACTTCGGCACTAGATGGGAGTGAGTGGTCAGCACCACACCCAGGCCGTGCTCTACCCCCGGGAAAGGACCTCCGGTACCCATTTGATAGGAGGCTAGGTCGGCCCCACAGCAGATGTGGACGCAGAGGCCAGAGGAAAAAATCCTATACCGGGGATCGAACCCCAGTCATCCAGCCCGTAGCTATACTGACTGAGCAATCCCGGCTCCATGAATTTATGTTAAATTTGTAATTTAATTTCTTATATTGTAATTCGTATTCTCACCTCGGGGTTCGATTTACAATCGTTCATTCATCTTTCCCAAAAAAGAAATTAATCAGTAGAGAGCAGTTGGGCCACTCGTCCCTGCGGGCTTTTTTAAACAGTTTTTCATGTCCTGAGGGCCCGTTCTACCGCGCTACACCCTCCTGATGTTCGTATACCCTCGTATATATTCCCCTTGATCCTCCCTCCTTCCTGGAATTATTTCCCCCTAGTTTCTCCCCAACTAGGTCGCTACTTCCCGTAGACTCCAGACTTTATTCATCCTTGCACTGCGATCTCCACGGACTCCACCATTTCGATTACTGCTGGACGAAGCTTAGGCAATGTCCTTAGTAAGCGATAACAGGCGAGCTGTGTAAGCATCATGGGGTGTCATGTGACGTAAGGCAATCACTTGTGTCCTGCGTGAGAGAAGCACACGGCCTTTCCTGCGCATGCACCTTCCGTGTACTGCATGGTCAGAGCTTTCTTGCGCATGCGCTTTACTGGCCAGCGCAGCGACTCGCGCGAAAATATCAAAATATTTGATCTCGGACTTTTTCCGCTGACCGCTTCGCTGTAATCTAGGATAGCGCCACACAAACAGCCAGTTTGATACTTCCGCTTCACCCACGCAACTCGCATTTAATCGCTCACGTAGGACACCGGGTTAGACTTCAGCATTTAAACTCAGTTCTCGTCGACTGTTTTAGCACAGATCACTATTTTTGAGTTTGACGTGATGGTAGTTCCTGCAGCCAGCACTCCGTGGATGTCGCTCCTTCTCTCAGTCACGCCTCTTGGAGACTCGAAGCTCGAACGCCAGCGAAACCAGCCTCTCGCGTTGTGGATATCATGCTATCGGATTCGTAACTCCCTTCAGACGCGACGTGTGTCAATCGTGGAGCAACACTCAGTTCATATGCACTATATTACATAAAATATAAATTTTCCAGGTCTTGTGAAAGTCCTGGATTCCCCTATACCCAATGGTTACTGATACAGAGACGGCTTGCTCACTTACTCGTACAATCGAAGATTATCACGGTTTTTACTAGTCTGCCCACATCCCGGCTGGTTGGCAATGCTCTTCAGGGCTTCTTCGTTCGCTGGCCTTGATCTCTGGATCGTCCCACCAGTCTGTCGTCATGTTCTAAAACTATTTATATATTTTTTGTGATACACCTGGTAACTGCAGAATACATTTATTGTCAGCAATCCCATGATTTCTCACCTGTTCTAAAACCTAAGACCTTTCTACTAGTCAGTTCTACGTTTGAATATTATTCTAATTATGTATGGAAAATTATTGTTTTGCGTTGCCTAAAATAATTCAGGCCTGAAAGAGTTAAAGGAACAATGAGATGTTGGTTCAGGCCTACCAACACATGCTACATTTTAACAGATGCATTCAAACATAAAGTGCAATGCATGGGATTACAAGGGCTGCCAGCATTCATTCCTGTGCTGTTACAGAAGAGGAGGAATAAATCACTAAATTTCACAAAACAGCAGAAAAAAAGCAACTAGACATCTTTGCAGTAAAGTATTTAATTTTATATTCGTTATGTCATTGACTTACAAGTACAGTGCTTTAACAACATGTTCCTCTTAATAAAGAAAATTATGCAAATCAGTGGTAATATTTTAACCAATTCTTGTCTGAAAGAATTCTGTTACGCCACAGATTTGGCTGCCGAACATTCCGGGATAGGGTAGCGTGGGTAGTGGGTGGGTTGACAGGGAAGGTGGATGTGGGGTTTGGTGGTCAAACACCTTGAAAACATGGGCAGATACTGAATTGGATAAAGAACATGACAAGCCACTATGTTGTCACCTGGAACAAATTCACTTGACTTCCGCCCAATTACGATTGTCAATTTTATGCAATTAAAATCTCATCCACGTGTGCTACATGCCCCAGCTGGCCTGTTTTCAATGTTGTGTTGATGACTTTGCTAGATTGAACAAATGGTTTAAAGGCAACAAACAAACAATAAGATCAGAAATAAATAGATTTTGCTACTAAAAACAAAATGTATATTCATTTAAATATAGGTTATAGAACAGAAATTATTTCAATACATACCATAGATCCTTCACAGGCTTAAGTCATGGATGTACATGTCATATCACAAATACAATACTTCTTTCTTATATAAATATAAATTAAATTATTGTGACAGTGATTTACAGTGTACTACAGTATTACTGCAAAAATAATTTTACAAGAAAGCATCACCACTATTGCTTACATGTAATTATAATAATTGAGAATTTTTGGTTCAGGTAATTTCTTCTATAGAGTGGAATAAGTGAGATAGGACATACTTTATTTTAGTGCTGGATCAAACTTCGTATCATGATTCAGACTTTCTATAGTGGGCAGAAGATTACTGAACAGCTTAATTCCATTATAGTAAACACCTTTTTGATACTTACAGAGGTCAGTGTTTGGCACATCAAGGTTATATCTGTATCTTGTATTTCCATTACAAATATCTGAGTTTGTTTGAAATTTTCTTATGTTGTCCGCTATAAATGATGATAATGAGAGCGAGAATTTATTGGATGGTGGGAAAATATTACAATTTTTAAACAATTCCATACATGACACTCTCCTTTTAGTGCCTGCCATTTTTCTAATAATTTTCTTTCGGATGTAAAATAATTTTTTGCTGTCTGTTGAGTTTCTCAAGAAACTAATTCCATATGACATTATAGAACAGAAGTAAGTAAAGTAAATGAATTTTAAAGTTTCTGTTTTCATGAGTGATGTGACAACCTCATAGCAAAGCATGATAAGCCTAGTTTAGGGATAATATACTGAATATGTGTTTTCCAATTGAAGTCACTTTGAAGGTCAAGAAATGTAACTCATGGACATAATCTACTTTAAATTAGTTTATTTCAGTTCCATGTCATATGCAGTTATAATTTACAGCAATTGAAAAGGCAGCAGAAAAACATTTATAATCCAAAAGAAAAGTCATTAGAATAGTAGCAGAAGTTACAAAAATGCATCTTATAGGGCCTACTTAACCTTGCCTGTGAATTCTTACTCTCACTACTATTTGTTGTACATAGCACAGAAAAGCACCAAATAAATTCCGAAATACAAAGTCTCTATAAATACAAGACATGAATATGACCTCTATATGCTGAATGCTAACCTTACTAGGTATCAGAAAGACGTGTACTATGCAGGACTAAAATTATTCAATATGATTCCATCTAACATTATAAGTTTAAATTGACACAAAGGTATTGACTGATATATATATAGTTATCTTTTCTTTGAAGCCTTTTACTCTGCAGAAAGGTTGATTTTGACTGAAAATTAATAACCACTGGAATTTGAAAACAATTTTCTGTCATGATTACTATGCTTGGCCATGTGTTTGTTTTAGGTGTGTTAACGAGTGGCTGCTACAGTATGTTATAGTTTCATCGGCTCCAAGACCTTTACAAATGTCTCTGTTACAACTGCTAAAACTAATATGCCCTCTTACTTTGCATTCACTGACATGGTTTTGAGTAAGATTGTTAAGCCCTATAGCTCACCTTTCAGAGCAGCATTGTAGTAACTCCTGTTTTGCCTCACTCCCTGCCACTGCCCATGTGGTGTTCATCCTGGTCTATTGGAATGTTATGTCGCTATATAGTTGAAAGTAAAACCGCCTAACAGCGGCTCCTTCATGTGTTCTTCTTGTCCTCTACCGTGGTACTCTTGAACAGCATTTGCCTGTGCTGGCTGGTTTGGTTGTCTACGTTATTTGGCACTTACACAACTCTGTTATGACTAATATTCACTTATTTAGGTGAGGTCACTTGCTTTTTACCTCTGCCCCCTACGTACGAGTCTCCTGGTGCAGAGAAACATGCTGTCTCCATTTTCAGGGCTGAAGTATATACAGTGTTTTTCTCATAACCTTAAAGTCCGGTGACGGTACTTTTCTATGAAACATTCGGCTTTACCAACAAATTAACAAGGCTTCACAATCCATGGTCTGTTCGTTGTTTGCTGGATGTGCTTATGAAAATCTGGTTTGTTCTCAATTGCAATTTCAATTTCACCGTGGGAAATTTTGTTTTCTTCCATTGAATGAACCTTGATAACACTGACACCTAGCGGGTGATACAGAAACAAACCTTCCACGGAATACGCATGGTCCTTATGGTGTTCGTTGGTTGTACTGTTGTAATTGAAATGGTCAGGTAATTTCGGTAAAAATCAGTTGTAATTTGGGTATTGTCTTCCGTTTATGAATGCTGAAGCATTTTAATTTAAGGATAAGGTGTCTTAGAAAATATATCCTGGTGCTTAGTCGGAGCTAGACTCAACATTGTCATTGTTTCATCATGTTCTCGTGTTCTGCATAATAGCATTAGCAAGAAGAAAAATATTTAAAATATGAAAGTTGTCTATTTAATGATACTTAATTTCTAAGAACATCCAGTTGATGTTAACTCTACGCTTGTTTCGAGCTTTATTTAATTGTCTGTCTATAGTTTTGATGTCTGATTCGTACATAACCTTAATCGGTCTAACTTGCATTATGATTTAATTCTAGGTATTAACCTTCTGAGATCACAATTATGGAGGAATATGCTCGTGAGCCATGCCCATGGCGTATTGTCGATGACTGTGGAGGTGCATTTACAATGGGTTGCATTGGAGGTGCTGTATTCCAGAGTATAAAAGGCTTCCGAAATGCACCGAGTGGAATGAACCGTCGTCTTCTTGGTAGTTTAGCAGCTATTAAGCAGCGTTCACCGATAATTGCTGGCAACTTTGCAATATGGGGAGGCATGTTTTCAACTATCGACTGTACCTTGGTACATTTTCGAAAGAAAGAGGATCCTTGGAATTCTATAATCAGTGGTGCAGCCACTGGTGGTATTTTAGCAGCAAGAAATGGTCTACCAGCAATGGCAGGCAGTGCTGTAATTGGAGGTGTTCTTTTAGCTCTAATTGAAGGTGTAGGAATATTGTTCACACGAATTTCTGCAGAGCAGTTCAAACCACCAAACCCAATCCTGGAAGATCCTTCACAGTTAGGGCCACCTCCTGGTTTTCATCAGCAACCTAATTATTAGTGCATGGACAATTTTAATAGCCAAATTACAAAAATGAAAGGAATACAGTTTATGATGTATATATGTGTAGTGAGAATAAAGTTGTTTCTTTACTTCCCATTTGTCACAATTTAATGAATATGTAATATTTGTTGCAGTTCACTTTCTATGCTTTCTTATTACGTTTGACATATAAATTATGAATTGTATCACTGAAAGTATTGAAATTGGATGAGTCAGTAGAGATCCCAAAATGTAAACAATGTTATTTAATATAATCAATGTAAAGTGAAGCTTCTGTTCTCTTGCTGTAATTTAAAAATATAGTAGTCAGGTTTTTTTTACATGTTCTTTCATCTCTTTTAATGTTTAGAAATTGCAATTGATTCAAATGATTTTGAAGCCCTCAATGATGGTATTTTTTGTACATACACTTTAAGCTTGAAAGCAGAGTTTACTGTAACAGCAGTGTTATTAGCACAACCACATAATTATTAAGTTTACAGACATTGTTTAATATAAGAAGTTCTGAATTTGCAGTAAAGATAAAATCTCAAAGTTCTTGAAGATGAAGGCAGCATGTTTCTCCAAAATGTTGGGCATACGGCCATAAGACTACATGATACAACAAACCACAAGCCTATGTTCTAATTTTTTTTTATTTGCAGCTTGTCAGGTTTGCCATTATGCAAACTGAATGCACGTTTGAAGTTTGTGAAATTTGTATCATTCCTAGTAGTTCGATGCAGGATTATGGCGTGGCTTTAGAGAAGACCTTTGTTGTGAGAAGTACCAATATGCCAATTTGTACTTCAGTTTAATCAGAGAAAATACAATTGTCTGTCAGTATCTGTTTTTTTATATTGGAAACAAAGCCACTATCCCCTTCACAAGGTGTGAGGAAGTTTAAGGATGTGAACTTGATTTTTGAAAGCAGTTAGGCCTAGTAATTACTTTTGTTACATTACAAAATATTTTCTGTAAATTATAGGATTAAAACAAAACATTTAAGACCATGAATAGGTATTAAAAAAGAAACTGGAAATATATTATTATATTTAGCCAGTGGGTATGAAATACATTGTTTTCAATTTCATAGTATGAAAAAACAAGTCAGTTATCTCTGCAACAAGTCGATTACTTTTCATCAATGTGGTTATGCCAGTCACAGTGTGCCATTGCATTTCTGCCAACCAGAATTGGAAGGATTTTGGTGTGGCCATCGGATCCGGAAGGACTGGGTTTCAATAAAGGAATATAAAGTGAAGCTTTTGTGCCGACTGAAGTTGATGAAAGACTCTCGAGTTACAGGTAGCTGAATGGTGAATAAACCATATCTTCTGCCAACGTTTCAAGAATAATCTCTGCTCTCATCCTCAGGGCTGCTGCATAACAAATCTGATCCTTTGTAGCCACCTGCTGCAGCTTGTAACCTAACAGTCTTTCATCAAAGGAATATAAATTTACAAATTATAATGAAACTTGGATGCAGATATCAGCATCATATATGGCACTCTTAGTGATGTTTACTGCAACACAAAAGGTAAACTTGTGTGAAATAGTTCTGCGCTGTTTCATCTACATTCTTTCTTTGAGGTATCTGAAGTCATTATTCCAGATATGTCTTACCATTTTGGACAAACTCAAGAACAATAATTATTTGACTTTGTGGCCACTTACCATGTTCCTGAAGAATCACTTCTTTCAACAATAAATATGGCCTCTTCTAGTGAATTGGTTCCCACACACATTCACTTGATATAAAGAAATAATACTCGGCAATGCTTTTCTGTAAAAAAAAGAAGCAGTAATTTTAAATTGTTTGGCAATTTTAACGTATTGTGACGTTTGATTATTTTATTATGTATGTATTTTGAAGAAAATGTGCTGGTACTGCGTAATGGTTTACCACAACAAAAAAGCATTGATGCTCAGTAGTAAAAGCTGTTAAAGTTGGCGGGATATCAACATGAGTGACCCCAAAAGTGTCTTACAAGGCAGAAGAATGGCTGTGGGAGGTTTATTCTTAATTTTCTTTGGAGTAAACTATGAACAGAATTTGCATGTTAGCCATATTAGCCTGACTAACACTTCAAGAAATAAAGTCTTATTTCATGGTTAGATGGGTACTCCATACAAACCAGTCATGTAAAGTCCATTGTTATCCAGCTCCAGACACTTAGGCACTTGCTGTTAGCGTAAGCTTTGACTTTGGTTGACACCACTCTGCATGCTTATCTCTTAAGGATTATTTGAATTAATAATAGTCTGAAGATAACAGCTGTTGTAAATTGTAGAATTATTCAACTGCTTTCTGTTCTTATGAAAGACCAGTGCCTAAATATCCTTTTCCTCTACTTCATAATTCATATGTACTGAACATAAACACAGAGAACAATAATAAAACACTGTTAAAAGGCCAGGTTCATTGATCTGTGGGGGTGGGAGAAAATACCTCCCTAGGGAGTGCAGGTCCCAGAGGTGGCCTAGCCCCATGTGTTACCAAGCCACATTTTAGGTGTGTTTTATATGTTCTACAGAAATTGCTTCCATGAAACTTTCATTCAGTAGGATATGAGCATTATTTCAAATAACATCTGTGATAAATTTATCTGTGACAGGTAGTATTGGCAAATGACATATTACTGTAACTATTGCAAGATGTGCACTAAATGAATCCAAAAATATTTGCAGACCATCTTTAAGCCTACGAGGAAACATATGTTATTTCTGAAATAAGGAATATCAGCCTGAAGATGGCTGTTTTCTGACG